CCCAAAAAACCCACCCAGTTTGGAGCTATCCTATATCTCAGACAGGGTGATATAACATAACATATGTTTTAAAATGATAAAGACTTCCAAGAATAAGACACAGCTTCCAGAATAATATTCATACACGCCCAAACAAAAGCAAAATCCTGTAATAATTGAATAATTGCAGCTTTCTGCATCCAAGAAAAAGTTAAAGGGGAAAAAAAAAAAAAATATCCAGCCCAAACCAGCCCTTTTCAGTGGCTTAGCTGGTCAACACTCTTATACACAAAGCCCAGTGCTCTTCCCTAAAACCGAAGAATTAATCAGCATTATGTAAGAGATTTTTATAACACTCTAAAAATACATTGTGAATTCYTTTCCAGTGTCGGACTGAGAAGCTTTAAAGTACTGCCACCCCTCATCCCCTTTTTGCAGCAAAGGCTGGATCTTCATTTCTGACATTGGAAACTCGAATTTTTGTCTCAAATCTCATTAATTACAGCGTTGGCCTCATGAGATACAACCGCTCCTGCCGAGAGCGGTGTTTGTGCTCGGAATGGCTGGAGCAAGGGCAGGGCTGATGGGGTGTTGTGRGCTTATCCACACTCCCAGAGGAGTCCGTGACACCCCGAGCTCGGGAGGACAGTTTGGGTGGGCTCCCGTGTTGATTTACCTGACAAAAACCAACTTTTGTCCCCGCGGTTTTGTTTGCGATAAAACACCCCCGGCAGCAATTTTTTTCCGCAGGCAGAGGGGCAACGAGGCCCTTGCTGCGCTCCCTCCTTCACATAATTAATAAATAATAATAATAAACAAGAGCCAGCACCATTTCTGCCTTTGCCACCGAAGGATCTCTAAGCAAAATTACCAAGTCATCACCTGAATGTTAATGGGAAAGCGGAGCTGTGCCCGGAATGAGTTTGGACATTTCACCGCTCTGCCCCACGTCTCAGTTTGGTCTGAAAGGAACACCTTCCTTTCTTCAGACCCAAGGACATCGCAAGGATGCAAACAAATCATATAAAAACCGTGAGCAAAGCATTTTCAGCTGCAAAAATCCCGTCCTGGGATGCGTATTTAGAAGGACTTACAGCTATTTCACCGTCGCGTTTTTTAGGAAACGCATCGCCATTGTCCTTCCCGAGGTGAAAACTTCTCCCCTTTCAGGGCTGACACAACGAGCCGTGTTCTGGAAATATCTCCCCACCCTTAGACCACAAACAAATCAACCAAAACCATCGGGGCGAACATCACCGGAGTTTGGAGGATCGCGTTTCCCGGGCGGGATTTCGCCACCGATATCGGTTCGGAGGCGATATCGCGGCTGAATGGAGCTTTGAAGAGGAGTCACCCTTCGTATCTGATGGGCGATCACAGCTTTTGCCCCGGGGCAAGCATTGCTCACACCCCAAATTGTGCTCG